CAGGAATTTGTTTAGTCCCTGTGGTACGTGCATGTCTGGATAATTAACTACAATTTTAATAAAGGAAAGTAAGGATCAAGGGAAAAATTTGAAAGCATGTGTCACAACTTGAAACAGCTGACACCTTGAGCTGTCCTCCTGAAATAAATGGGATAGCCTGAGGAATAAGTAAATACTGTACTGGATTAACTGTATGGAAATGTTGTCCTCTTGGCCTTCCGAAAATGTTTTCCTCTCTGTGGGTGTATAAATATACAAACACTGCGCTCTGCTGCACTAAGCTGCCCTTGCTGCCCATGGCCTCAGGATGAGAGGTGAGGGTATACAACCCTCCGAAAAACTCAACGCTGCTTATCTCCATCTCTCTTGGGAGATGGACACTAACACACCAATTCACATACTGGCTGATAGAAGTCATATAGATTTTAAAGACAATGTTCAGTCGCTGGCACAAGAGGCAGCTGATGGCAGCAGGGCTGTGGGATGAAGATGCTCAGCTCCAAGTGTTGGTTCTTGGTCAATGCCGTTTTTTGCTCTTGGGATGTATGGGAGAAAATCATGCTCTTTAAAGGCTGTCAGGACACCACATCTGCCTGCCTTTGGAGACCCCAAAAACCTCTGTCTCTTCCAGTCAGGCTTGCGGCACAGTTTGGACCAGCTCTGTGTGGTCATGGAGACGGTGGTTCGGCCTGACTCGGGGACAGAGGAGAAGACTTTGTGTGAAGAGTCCCCTCTTTTATCCAGTGGAGTGACCCTAAATAAAAAGCCTGTGACATGCAATGAGCTACTCCACCTTGTTCCTGAGGGGCCAGCAGAGGTAATAAGAAATATCAGTCCCTGATGGACAGAGATGCTGAATCACCTCCCCAGGTATCTCCACTCCAAAACTCATCCCAGCAGCAACCAGCCACGGGAACATCTCTTTTTTTCACCAGTAGGAGCACCTGGAGGTCCACACACTCCTCCAGCCCTGACACTGTTGAGCAGTTAGTGCTTACTGAGCAGCTAGTGCTGATTCCTTGAGGAATTTGGGGATTGGGCCTTTCCTTGCTGGTGGCCAGGGGTCCCTGTTTGGGACACAACCTCTCCCAAAGTCCATGCAGGGACCCAACGCCTGTGTCTGGGCTGGGGATGAGGCATGGCCCTACCCAGCCCTTGTCTCCTCTGTGGAGTGTGCCTTCAAAGACTTGTGCCATGCCGAGCAACAAATGTGTCCTCATTCCTCCTCAGCAAGAAGCTTCAAAAGGGATGACTTTGATTTATTTCACAGTTTTCCGCTCGCTGTTACTAAGCAAAGTCGGTGCAGGTGACATCCCTGCAGATTGAGGCTCTCTGTCTACAGGCAAAAACAAGAGCAGGCAGGTCCCCAAGCAGCCTGGCTCCCCAGCCACCCACCACTGAGTGGTCATTTCATGTCACTTCCCTGTGGGGACAGTGTGCCAACACTGCTGACCAGAAGGGGATCTGGGACAGTTATGTATGCCATTGGCTCCTGTCCCCTTTCTTTCAGACAAGGACAGTCCTTGAATGAGGGAGCAAATGGTATTTAATGTATCATCCACTCTTTCACAGGTAGATGCTCTGCTCTGACACCTCTTGTGCTTGTTCCAGGTGATGGCCCAGCAGCTCCTGGTGATCTTCAGTGGATGCTATGTCCGGCTCTTGGCCACCGGCCGGCTCCCTCGGGCCAAGGCAAGGGGACACTTGGAGCACAGCAGCATGCCCTGTCTCTGCCAGTTCATCCAGACCACCGTGCTCAACACACACTGGAGCTGATTCTCGGGCAGGTGACTCGAGGGGACTGGAAAACACTGAAATAAAAGCTGCCCATACACAACAGTGTGAAGAAGTCGTGGGGCAGAGGAGAGGGCTGCAATCGCTCATCTTGGACTTATTCAGATGACCGAGTGGAAATATGACTGTAATAAAACATGCCAGACACCAGAAAGCTGCTTACTTTTGAGACCTTCTGCCTGCTCACCAGCTTGGTGTGAAGGAGCTGCTCCAGGGATCAGAAGCAGTCCAGGGATGGCCTGGCACTCGCTTGGGACATTTCCCACTGCTCTTACTTGGGGGCTTCGGAGAGCCATGGGGAATACCTGTAGGTCCCAGCCTCATGCCTTCGAAACGAAGTACGTAGGGGTTTTTAGTACAAGGAAGACAGGGAAAATCTGTGAATAGCAGTGTTGTGGATGTGATGTTTACTCTGGATCATGTTTGTGTCACAGAGCTGTCAATGACAGTGAGTTTTGTCCTGCGACAGTCATGGACAACATCTCAACTTTGCAAACTTTCCACTTCAGAACTAGCTTGGCATGGTGCTCCATATCTACTGCTTCTGCTGCCTCCCCTGGGAGAATGGTGATGGACATCCGGATGATCCATGGGATTAAGTCTTAAAGAAGGCACTGGGCAGGGCATCCTGGAGTGTGGCTCTTTTCAGACTCCTCTTTCAGCTTCATTTTGGGACAGGCTGATTTCCTTTGGTTTTCCTTTCCTCCTTTCCCTGCACTGCATTTACACACCACAGGGAAGAGGAGCCAGAGATGAACAGGAGACTTCACTGTGTGCATGAAGCCCACAGGCGAATGGGAAATGAAGCACTGCAAGCTTACAAGAAGTTGTGTGCCAGGTAGTGTCCATGAATGGAGAACTGCTGTCTGGCCCAGGAACTGCTGGTGTCCTCTGCTGTCCCTAGAGCCAGGTGTTTCCATGAAACTCGGATGACAGCATGCACTGATGTTGACCTGACTGCCTAACCACATGGTGACAGCTACCTGAGGAAGTGGCAATGATTAGAGAGTCCTAAACTCTGTGTTTTCTAGCCTTGCTGTGACTGAGTGTGCATGGGAGATTCGGGTCTGTTCTCCACCTTCCAGCCCTTTCTCCCTCCCTCTCTATCTCCCTCAGCTGCCCAGGCAGGCCTTGTGCCTCTCCCACCTTAACAAAGCTCAGCACGGGACACTGCCCTGCACACAGTCAGGAGGGTTTTAAAATTAAGGCCACTAGTTTGTGCACATCCCTCCATTGTGCATGTCCCATCCTGCCACCGAGCAGCCCCCCCTCACACAACATCATACCAGAGAAATTTTGGTACTGAAGGCCAAACCATTGCTTGGGGTGGCAGCAAGAGGCTGAGCCCTGGAGACCCAGGGGCTGACAGCCAGTTCTGCCCAGGGGTGCAACGTGATTGTGCTTCCTCCTCTGATGTTTCTGTCACAAGCAATGGTAAGACAAGACCCACCTTTTCCTACACAAGCAGCAAGGCAAGCTGCAGCAGCGAGCCCTAGTGCTGCCACTGTATGATCTGAAGCATCAGTCTGTTCAAATACTGTAGTGACAGCAAACCCCTCCCAGGAGAAAAACCACCATGCCCTCAGCCAGCCTCTTCTCCTCCATCTTTATTTCTGGTTCAGCTGGGGCTGTCACAGGAGGGGGCCGGGCAGATTCCTCCCCGCATGTGCGGAGTTTGTGATTCTGCTGTCATCGTTCTGTGACGGTGCGGGGTTCACTGGAGGGGGGATGCTCTGTGGGTGCTGTGCATCGCGCTGTGATGCTGGCTGCCCTGTAAGGACAGCTTCTCCAGCTTACTGGGCATGGGGATGGGGGTTGTACAAAACATCATGGGATTCTCCAGCTCAGGAGGATTTAATCTTTGTGGAAATTGTCTGAATGCATGCTGATATCATTGGGAGCACAATTTGATTTCACAAAATAAAAATGCAATTTGCTGCTGGGATGCAATGGCTCATGCTCCTCCCATGGTGCCCAAAAGTGCCAGGAGCACCTGACACACATTAACAAACTTTTTCCTGCCAGCAAGAAAATTCTGGTAACAAGAGACCAATCAAGACATTTTCTGTTGTGCTTCTGTGTTGAGAGCAGATACAGGAGGGCTTTGCTGATATCTTTCTATCCTTGGGCTGCAGGATTCCTGGCAAATGAAAAACTGGTGGGGACAAAGCTCATGGCCTTCAGGGGAGGACCATGAGGGCTTTTACCCTCAGGATCTGCAGGGCTGGTCTTGAATGGGGCTGTTGTTCCTGGGAAGTGAGGTTCTTTCTTGGGGGGCTGCTGCTGCCTCTGCCTTCACATCTGCAAATGGACAAGCGTTGGAGAAAAGAGCGAGGATTCAGGATTAGCCAAGAGGTTGGTTTCCTCTCACCAATACATCCAAGTGCCTGCCCTGCTCTGCCAATCTGGCGCCTCTGCCATGTCCTGGCTCCCATTGCAGGCCAGACGACTAAGGCTCTGCTTTTCCTTCATATGCACTTAGTTAAGGCATTGGTGAAAGGAGACATTCCCTTTCCCTCACCTCCTCCCCCCATTAAGGATCCAGCTGTTATTTTAGAGGACAGGTGATATTCTGGGGGTTTTATTAGGGCCCCCTAAGCATCTAATTCCCTTTCCTCCCCTTGTACACAGCACATGGGAGCAGCAGTGAGGAGATGGCTCAGCCTCACATCTTCCTTGCGAGTTTCCCGAGACAGCCCTAAGCTCCTGGCAGAGGTAGGAGACCCTGGGGCAGGATCTGACCGGGAATGTGCTGGTGCCTGGGTGCAGCTCTGGGCATGTTTGCACAAGAGCAGCCAGGAGTGACTCAGCCAAACCAGTGCAACTGGTATTGGTGAGGCAAATCTTTCCTGTGCTGACATTCCTCTGCTTGCTGTTCAAAAAGGATTTCATGAGAGAGGTCCTCACCAACCCCACTGTGCTGAATTGGGGGGTGGCTGGAAGGAGCAGCTGCTCTCAGGGGTGTCGCATGAATGATGTGCAAAGTCACAGCAATTTGTGTGTTTTAAGTGGGCCAGAAAGGGACTGGGGAAGATTGGCAGCAAGGACAGAAATCTCTCACTGCCAGCTGGGATGCATGGCGATGCATTTTAGTATTTAGCAGGGTGCCTGAAATAACATAGATTGCCTCAGGGAGATGTAGCTCTGGGGAAGCAGTGCTTCAGCAGATTACTCACCCCTCTGATTACCCCCAGAGTAAGTCCGTCCTCCCTTCCCAAGGCTGCTATTTGCATCCTCTCTGTCAGTGGCTGGGGCACAGCCGTGGCATTTAAAGACAAAACCCAGTGAGGGAACATAAAGCAGGAAAGAAAAGAAACTTTTGCAACTTCTACCTGTTACGGTTCTTCCTCAGATAAAGTGCCTGGCTCTGAGGAAAACTGGTTGCTGGAGCACAGGCAGGGAGGGATGGGGACCCAGCACAGGGGGAACCGCTTGCCCAAGGCAGCAGGCAGCAACCAGAGCTGCTCGCCAGCCCCAGCGTGGTTGGGGCTGAGGTGTGTGTGTGTCCCCATCCCCAGTGAGCTGCAGACTTACCTTGGTGACGGCTGCGGGGGGCTGCCTGCGCTGGGCAGGGGGATGGCTCCTGGTGCTCCCGGCTGCACAGGGTCCCCATCTTCCTGGCCACGTAGCGGCAGGCTGGTAGGAGAGGAGAGACCTGTCTGCTTGCTGCAGCTACCCCAAAAAACCCTCCCCAAACAGCACTCTTCGTGAGCTGGGGTTCCTCGCAAAGGAGGGTCAGCTGTGGGTTGTGTCGAACCCGTGGCAATGGAAGGGACTGGGTTTAATGGGCTGAAAGGGAGTTGCTGTGTCTGGCGTCCTGGCTGTGTTTCAAACCACTCCAGCACCAGCCTTTCTCCCGGCCATAAAATATGCAGAGTATTTACCGTGCAGAAATCCCTCTGAGCAACCTTGCCTCAAACGAGAGGTTTCCTTACCGTTGATAATTACTCAAACCATTTTCTCCCGGGCTCAGCAAAGCTGTCCTTCCACGCAAGCCTGTCTCTTCCTCTCTCTCCTCTCGCAGTCAGCTCTGTGGTGGTTTTATTTCTTTACAGCCCGGCTTCCTCCCTCCTTCCCTACCACGGGGACGCTGCTCCCATAACACCCGGTCACGCACGGGGCGTGGGCTCAGCCCGGTGCTGCCCGCGGGCAGGGCTGGGATCCCTGCACCTCTCGGTTGGAGAAAGCACTCCCAGCATCAGCTGCAGGCAGTGGCATCGAGTTTTGAGCTGACTAAAACCCTCTTATACTACATCCCATTGTATGCAGGGGAAGGTAAAGGTGACATCCCTAGCAGACAAGGTGTAAGCTGTATTACTGGCTTTGGTTTCTCCAGGGTCCTTCCCACATAGCACCTCCAGAGCACTGCTTGGTTTTCGTCCCTGGGGTCACTGCAGCTGGTAACCCGAGAGATGTAGGTTTTGTGCATCCTTTGCAAAACTTTGCTGTTACTCATGCTTGGTACTTAATCTTGAAGTCAGGTGAATTCTGAAAGCTTCTGCTTTGCCCTTTGACCAGGGCAACACACTTCCTATCTCCAAGGCAAGAGCTCGCTGATTCAGGCAGGTTGGACTTTGGTTTTGATGTCCTTGCTTTAGGATTATATGAGGTTGGTCAGAGACGTGGTTGCTGTAGCACAGGTATTGCACCTCACAGCACTGCAAATCTGCAGTTTGCACTACTGCAGAAGAAAGTGCAAGATCAATGTGTGAGATAGAGAGGAGCTAACGTCACTCATGTCGGGAGATTTGAGTAAGCTCTGATGCACTGGGCTGAAAACATAAAATGCAGCATAGAAAACTTTAGTTCAGCTGGTGCCCTGTCACACTGCTGTGCAGTGTTAATGAGAGGGAGAGGCTTGAATGGACATGAAGAATGATCTCTGCTCTAAACCTTGGACAACTTCCTATCACATCATCCGATGTCGCTGAAGCCTGCAATAGTATGTGATGCAAGTGTATAAAATATAAAAATTAAAAAAA